CTGTTTTCCATTCCGATACAGTCGTCTCTGTAACTAAACAGATCCTTATTTGAAAAATTGTTTGTTCGCCTACTGAAGTTACCGTTCTCTTTGGATTTCACCCATCCCAATCGCGGGATCCGATCGCGCGATCGCGAAGTCTGAACGCGCTCTCAGTACCATTTACACTGGTATCGAAGGAAAGAGAGAAGAGAATACAGGAAAAGGTGTGAGGCCTTCATCCAGTAGGAACGGTTGTGCAGCTATAGGATTGCTAGGCTCCGCTCGTAGCGATCTGCTATATCGTGTCGCTGCCACAGTGCGCTCGCTTCCAGTTCTACTCCTTTTTGAATTGCACTTAAAGGCACATTCCGCGATAAAATAAGGCTATGACCTCTCAAATGTGTCGGACGATCCGGAAGGCGATTTTTGAGGCTGCGCTACTTTCAAAATGTGAAAAACGGCAAGAACTCCGCTAGAAGCTGACTAATTAGGCCCATGGACACCCCTTAGGCCCATGCCGACCCTCACCGGCTGCTAGCTACTAGCTAGTAGCCACTATGTTATCTTTCTCTATAACATTTCGGACTGCTTTTTCTGCTGCTTTTCTCCGCTAATCAGATACTTAGCACTTTTTTGTGCCTATTTGAGTTCCGTTTCCCGCAATTTGCGGTCGCGAACTGTGCCTTTAAACAATATAGATCAATCACGTAGATGAGAAGAAAGAAAAATACACAATAAAAGGCCAAGAACAACATGGGGTTTGTGTTGCTCGAGGCGACGGCGAATTCTATACACAGGTGCGCCCTACACTATAAAATTCACAGGGGTTCGTTAGTAGTTCAGGTAGCGACAAAAGAAAAAGAGCTGACTTGATCTATACCCAGTTCAGACAGATCCTGGTGACCGCGGCAAGTGTGCTCGACTGTGAGGATTTGCTGAAGCTAAAGCTTTGCGATTATAATACATGCCCGTTTCCGCTGATCGGTAGCTTCACATCGTTGCCCTATAACCTCTATTTCGATACCGTAGTGAAAATGGTAGTAGGGACGCTGAGAATTGTCTCTAGACGTTCAGCTCCTTATTGTTCAACCCTTGTCATGTTCCACCTTATTGCGTAAGGAGTGGATGTGATCACTGGACCGTCGCTTATCCTTAGTAGCTGTGCAAGGGCTGCAGGTGAGGTAGCATACGCTCCCAGTTCTTATCTATCTTTCCTTTCAGTACAAACGGTCAGAAATGATTGTCATGAAAAAGCTGTGCCCGATACTTGCAAAGTAGGATACTGAAGTTGGCCACGCGCAGCACCTCAAGATCCTCAAGTCCGTCTTTCACTAGAAACCTACAGGTTTGGTGCCGAAGTGCCAGTCACGAATGTGGTCACATGCGGCCTTTGCAGCTGACATAGCTGACGATAACTTACGCTTCTGAATGATAACAGCGCCTCTTTTCTGGACTGTCTGTAATGGAAAATACTGTCATTTTTCATCGAACTCATATTCAAGAACGGGTTGTGCTTACCGAAATGAACGAACCCCGCAAAAATGCGGTATCATTCACTGCCGTGTAGGCGTCGACAGCCTTTTGACCTGAAATAAAATCGAACTTGAGGTTGGTGATCAGCAGGTATCTCGGTGCAGGGTCGGGATCCAGTTACCAAGCACGCCTTCATGGAGTCAAACCTGACTCGCTCTAGCCTGAGCCAGCCACGTCTTTCCACTTTCCCGAACTATTGATTCGCTACCAGACTCGTCTGGGAAGGTAGAAATTTTGACTTCTACATCAGACGCTCCCATGCCACTGCACAGGCAATACCGCATTCTAAGAACCACTACGACTCCAAATGGAATTAAAAACGCGCGCTGCATCCCGAAAGGGATTACATACTACGACCGGAGGCTTTTCTTCTCATCTGCACCGGTGCCTGGAATGCAGGCGCACCCAGCCGCTTGTGACTATCACAAGCGGGGGGGGGTCGTATGGACTCGACGAGGGGAGGGGGATCCGCAAACCTGGGACCTTTCTGATGTCGAAGGTGCAGCGATACCTAGATGTCATTCAGCTCCAATGATGAAAGACTTATCGTTATGAACCCTGGAAGAGACCCACACAAGACAGAAGCAACATGCCAGCGCAGAAGTGGGAACGGGCGATGACAGGAAATACGATGGTCGCCCACAACGACGTCATGAATTGATAAAAAAGAAAACGGATAAAGTCTATGCCGTTGCTTGATCAACGCTTTCGTCGGCCACGCACATCTACTTCTAGTTGTAGGATCGTTAGTGCCGTATTTGAATGGATTGTCTATACGATGACTTGCGGTGGAGAGCCGTGTACAAGTCAGTGTTTCATCCTAACAGATGAATCTGGTACCAATTTACCGTTCCCGGAGGGTAGAAGGCTTGGTTGGCGTGAGCGAGAATCGACCCGGGATTTGAACCCGGCATCGCGCGAGTGGTAAGCGCGCCACTTGTCACTACACCACCTCCGCGCCAATAAATATCCGCCATGAATAAATAAACAGATGAAAGTACACTTCCGGACCTTTCTCTCTCAGGAGCACGTCTACTTGCACCTAGGAAGCCCTTCCTAGAAGTTGCACCTTCCCAAGAGGCTTGGCTGAAAGCGCTATGCATGGCGCGCATTGCAGAGGTGATGCCAATTGGCGCCCAGTGAACTATTTCCTGATATCCTTGGCGAAAACATGCGTTTCTGAAGCATACCAAAGTCCTTAAGCCAAGTTTGATGCGTTAGAGGTACGTTGATTTTCGGCGTCGTGCGTCTGAGTGCACGAGGACAACAATGGTGGAAATTTCGAACAGGCCTAGGATAAAAGGAAAATCTTGCTGGAAAGTAAAAAGCTCCATGCTTCCGGCACAGTTTTTCTTTTTACGAAAAACCTTGCATGAAGCTTGCCATGGATGTCCAAAGCGTAGCGACTTGTGGTTGGCCCCCATGATCACGCAAGGGTCACAACGGAGAAAAATTCCTAAAAAGGATATTTTTTGGAATCGCTCAAAATCAGGTAACAAGTGCCAACCTAGTTCCCCTCGTACCTGCTTTTCCCCTCTCCAGAAAAGCTTTCACTCTCAAAAGGTATAGGTGTTCACCCGAGGTTACTTATTTCGAGGTTTGGCCCTCCAGGTCGCATAAAATAGCGCGCTCCAATACGTTTGTAATAGCGGTTACGCGAACAACGAATCATCCAATATGCCTAGTTTAGTAGTTTAGGCTTCTATTCCCATGGTGGTTTTTTCTTATCGTTCGGGGCCCGATCGCCCACACCTGCACGCAGAATTGTTTCTAATGCATTTGTGTAATTCCTTTTTTCGTGTTTCTTATAGTTTTCTGGTTTGTGTTCTGGTTTTAAGCGCTACCGAACCATTCCTACCCCAATTTGCCGGAATCAGGCTGCTTTTTTGTCGACTTTTTTTCTAGAAGGGCAGATTCGGCTGAACATTAGCTTATAGTGGTACTTCGACCCTGCCTACAATTCCGATTCCCCGAAACTCGTCGATATGGTTCAGGGTACTTTAGCGCCGGCCCCAAATTACCCCAAATCACCAGAATCGATTAAAACTTGTTACACGGGGGTTATTTACATCCTTTTTACGATTTATATACTTTACCAGTCGGATCGCCCGGCTGACGCCGAGCTCTCCTCCTTCTTTTTAGCTCGGCTTCGCCGAGCTGGCCTGGCTGCGCCAGGCGCGCCATAATTTGAACGCAACTTTCTCCACTATGTGTTGTATGGGCTTTATGGCGCGGACCACACCCCTGCTGCAAATATAAGTGTATGGTATTCATTCACGGCACCTATCCCTGATCTAAGCTCAGCCATCCCCCACTCAGCCACCCTAAGGGTCACGTGCAGCTGCTACGTGAATAGCCCGTGCAAAAGACTTCGAGTTACACTTAAAGTGTTGTGTGTATATTGCGAAGGGGGTTATAGACTAGTCGGAATATATGACAATATCAAAAACGCTACCACAATTTGGTAATGCAATATTACTCGGTTCATTTCCGAAGGCGGTCTGTTTCTTTTCTTCTCTTACCACGTCTGTAAAGTCTTTATCGCCGCAGTCGCTGCTACTGATGTCCGCTGCTACTGGTCGCGAGATGGTCGCACTCATCTGGTACCTTCTCACCACATCATATCCCACTCACCCTACTGCACGTGGTCACAGCCATGTGAGCAGCTAGCGCAACATAGGACACACTTCCGCCGCTGCTCTTACTACCGCCCTGCTCACATCCAGATTCTAAGCAAACAGCTTGTGTAATAGCTCCGAGTCGAGCGATACCACGATGCCAAGCAACTTCTTAGTTCGTTGCTGTGACACGGATTACCTTGCAGTTTTGCTAGCAGTTCCTTCTCTTTTCTCTTGCTGCCTGCTCCTACGCTACACACTGCATCGCTGTACCCAGTTTGCCCGATCCAATCCCTCTGCCTCCCTCCCCTGTATGGGCTCAAATCCGACTGAGCACACGCAAGGGAGGAGAACAGGAGAAGAGGTCACTCGGTACTCACTCCCACCTTCCTCACCTCTTCCCTTTCCATACTCGCCACTCCCCTCCCCATCTTGCCCCTTGCGCGCGCTCACTACAACTACCACATAATCCATAACCACGGGAAACCCGTGCAATGGCTCGGAGTGTGGTGGTCCTCTTATATAGTGGAAAGTGTTATTATGACCAAAACAACTTTTCACTTCGTAACGTAACATGATTAGCCTGCCGTGTTTTCTTTATCGGTTGCCCTTTTCCTCCTTTGAATGCGCAATGCTACTCAAGCGCGCGCTATCGCACCCCTCCCTGCGCCCCTTCGGGCCCCCCTCTGCCTCCCTCCCATACACGTGCTCAGCTCCGGCTGAGCACGTGCAGGAGAGGGAGGCAGGGCGACCCGGTACCCCCACCCTGCCCCCGCACGAGCACACGTCCAGCTGCCACGCCAGCAGCTCGTGCAATGGCTCGGAGTGTACCCGAATGGTTGTCTTATATAGCGGAGGCTGCTTTCCAATCAAATCATTGGACTGCTACATCCTCCCAGTCGGTTACCGGTTTGCCTAGCGGTCGTTTTCGCCTCCAGCGAACTCGAACCCGTGAAGTATTTTGCGGACGGACAGACAAACATACATACATACATACATACATACATACCTACAAACCTACATACAAACATACAAACCGACACACAAAGTTACTGGTTTATAGAATGAAAGGATTCTTGTGGCCAGCACTAACGTAGAACACTATGGTCACCTGCGTCTAAGACTGAGCCTAGCCTGAAGGAAATCTTTCCTCTTTCCCAGTTTCACCCTCACCAGAGCGCTAAATAGCTTTGGACCTTTGTATTAAGAAATGATATCATACTGGTGATCAGGGCATCGAACATCTATAGATAAAGTTTCAGCATAATTT